TGCCAGAGACGCAATTCAGGATGGGTCCTGACGCGATTACATGACACTGTGTCGTCTCGACACTCGTCTAACGTGACATCGGTCGAGGGGCGGAGATGCAAATTACGACAACAACGGGCCCGCCATTATGCCCTGGACGTCGAAATTGCGGGAGTGAAGAGGACCCTTCTACAACCCATGGGGGCCGCTGAGTATTAATAAGGTAAGAACTCAATAACTTTTTTGTCGTGAACGGTGCCTTTAAGTACCGCAAATACTGAATTTGGGAATCAAATCTTGTCCAAGACATATTGATCCATTAGTGATGAAAAACTACTTCTTTGCTTGTTTGGCAATTGATCAAATCGGATCTTTGAAGTTTCAGTGAAGTGTGCGATAGTAGTAAATAGGAACTCGATTAACGCAGTCAGTCCTAACGTCAGCAGTGAGGAGAAGTGAGGAAAAAAGCATCAAGCGGCAAAGAAAGCAGTGGCAATAGAACTCTGGAATGAGCCATGTGAACTTTTTTAATTTGAGAGTTCGATAGCGCCTAAACGCATATTTGCATTATCTGTAATAATTAAAATCAAGTTCAGCTATACGATCTAGTAGAACGAAACTTCAACCAATTTCCGAATAATAGGAAGAACTGATGGTCGGACATAAATCGGTCTGTGGAGCTTGCGCATGATAAAGCACAAATCGCCAGAGTCCAAACTTCATCTGTTTCACCTGCCGTCCCTTTGCGAAACAATTTTATCGGGTACACTTCAATTATATCCCCACTCATCCTTCTCGCAGGGCAAGATATTTCAGTGGGGCAAGAGGACTAGTATTGTTCTCGCTTAAAAGTTCAATGAAGGGATGTGACCACTGCACTCTCGGTCGTCTCGATATTCAATAGACCCCCAAAGGACCCAGTCAGTAACGCTTTGGTTCGACGGCCATCACAAAACGCAAAAGGCTTTCGACCCATCATCTTTTATTTCTCGACGTATGCGTAAAACGGCATCCAAGATCTTCGCTTGGAACAGAGGTCGGGTTTCCGGATTCACCTCTGCACCTGCATTTGTCGGAAAATTCGTCCTTTCTACAGCGTGTTGAATGCCAATTACTATGTGCTCATCCTGCTTGCGTAACGTCCAATTTTCGAGTATGTTTAGGCAGAACGGACCGCAGTGTCGAAAAGGTCAGCGCGGAGCCGTATTCCCTTTTTCTTCCTCACTAGTCCGTGCATGTTCCTAAACACTTCCCACGCCACGCGTTTCCTTCTGCTCAGCTGCGGAGCTAGGTCCCTGATCAGTTTATCCTCGATCTTTTACGCGTAGCTGGAGCAGAAATATTCGTTCCGTCCAGCGTTAAGGGAGCATTAGGTACCAATCCGTTTATCATGAACATTGTTTTCCTTAACTTCTGTCTTGAGCCGATCATTCCACGAGCGTTATGGAATTCTTCCTGCACTTGTTCCGCCTGCCCGATGTTAGGTGTTATAAGCACGACGTCGTTTGCAAAGAGAGGTGATGTGAGTAGAGGTTGTCGACTTTCACTGTCGAGTCTTCCCATTCAAAATAACGCATGATGTTCTTGAGAGCGGCAGTGGAAAGCAGCCTCAGTCGAAATAGTATACCTCTTGAGCGCTCCTCTGCATACGTTGACAATGACTTCTTTGTAGAATGGTGAAGTCGTGGTAGGTGGAGTTCTGTAGAGCTCACGAAGCATTCAGTAGGAACACTCTAGTTAGCCAGGGTTTCAACCACCGCTACTGCCTCGAATGTTTCAAAGACTCTCTACGAGTCGATGAATGTAAGACATTGCGGCATCCTGTACTCTCGCGATACTTCAGTGAGTCTCGCAACAATGTGTATCTAATCAACTGTACTGAACACTCCAAGGAACTCTGCTTGCTCGCACGGCACACAAGACGGTATGCCGAATATCGGAAGGAAGAACTGTGCGAACAACATATCCATCCTGCCTAAGGTGGTAGGTAGGCAGGTGGACATGGCTGTCGAAATGATCTGAATAGTAATTGTAGCTGACGTTTTCCACTCCCCCTCGAGATGGAGCAACAGCTCCGTCAGGACGACTCAGGGGAGCTACCTCAGTCTTGTCCTTTGGGAAGCTCCGATGCTTTGTGAATGCTCTTTCCGGCGTCGGCGGCCTCGGCCATAACTCCTCTCTTCCAGATCTTTCTTTATCGCTTCTCTGCATAGCTTCGCAAATTTGGATGTCCGTTGATGATTGCCTGCAGCTCGAGCGATTCGAGGCCGGCCTATCAGCTCGATTCTTCCAAAAAAAAAGCCCTCCTTCCAGTATGTAGAATCTTTGCTTCTCAAGCACTATTGGTAAGATGTTTGGCGTGCCGTGAGTACTTCCTACAAATGTTATCGATTATGAATCTCCTCATAAACTCGTAGGGGAAGCGGAGGGAATGTTTCCAAATGACTATTGTCTTGCACTTCGTTTCCTGAATTTTGCAGCTTTTTTTCATGCAGTGGAAAACAGAATTTAGCGCAGAAGAAGTATGGAGTCTCCCGAGTGAAACTCTGAAGCAGCGAAGTATTCAGGCAAAAACCTTGAATGAAATCATCTAGGAATCATTCTGAATGGCGTAGGTCGATAAAATAGACTTGAACAGTCTTGCAGCCTCTTCGTTCTATTTCGCTCAGTGAATCCCGATATGAAGCTCTTCGACCGTTTTTTCGAGGCTAGATTGCTCTCAGATTCTAGAAGCTTCTCCCGATCCTCCCAACGCTGTACAGTGCGTTTCATAATTATAAGGTCACCCACCATTTTTGCGATTCTGAAGAAAGCAGCCCGAATGGAATTTTTTGGCAAACACAGGAAGATTCCTCATCACAATGTACCTCCGTATTCAAATTTGGTCGCAATATCCTTTACCTCAGATTTTTTATGAGTTTTTTAAAGATAGTGTCGGTTTTGCACCGTTTCATAATTATAAGGTCACCCTGAGAAAGTAAATGGTTTATTAACGTT